ATGTATATATGTATATACATATAATTCGATATATAATTCGATAATAATTAGACATATAATTCGTTATTTTTTTTTTTATATGTAAAAAAAACATACCAATCCAACGATGATGAGGCTAAAAATAACATTAAACATAATTAGAAATAATAATGTATAATAATGACCATTAATATAAGATGACGTACCTTGTGCAAAATTTTATAAATTAATGGAAGGTGTAGCCATCGATGAATCCAATAAATACACATATCGGTAAAGAATAAAAATAGTATGATTGAAAATATTCCGTAAACTATTCCATAATCATTAATATTATCATATAATTTTGAATAGCCTCGAACTTCACCAAGGAACCAAGGAACTGTTACCAAACTAGTAAGTGGGAATCCTGTAACTGAAAGTTTTATCTCTTTACGTATTTGATTTTTCAAAAATAGCCAAAAATTAAGAAAAAAAAATTAAACATGTAAGTTACTGAACTTTTGGAAGTTTGCAGGCTTTTTTTGCAAAGCCCGGCCCAACCTGGTATTTTGGTGAGTTTAAACTGAGCCTAGCCTATTTTAATTATAGATCTAACAATACGAGCCCAACCCAAAACTTTTGCAGATCGGGTTCAGATCTGGGCTCGGGTAGCCTAGCCCAATTCCGGACCCTATTAATAACTCTTTATTTTCATCAGGATGAATCAGTAATCTAGCCTCTTTCTCATATAAAGAAAAATAGAGTTATTTTTATTATATTTTGTTTGGCGGTTCGATAAGTAAAGAGTACTAAAAGTATTAGTAAATCCTATTTTCTTATATTGGTTACAAGTTTAAATATAGATTTACAAAACATTTATTAAAATGCTTTACTAATTCATTTGTCTGTGAATAATAGGGTATTGAATAATTATGATTAATGGTGAATTTCTTTAAAAATTCATCTATTAAATTATTACAAAAATACATTTTTCTATTTGAAAATAGATATTGTAGATAGCTATAGTAATATATAATATCTTCATATATAAAATCAACTACTTCTTGAGTATTCACATTCTTGATTGCTCTAGCTTTTAGTCATTTAGTCATATAGTTTTTAGTGACTACAATATACCTATTTCTCTTTGAAATTACAGATAAATTTTCTACTATATCTATACCAATTTTATAGAATATAACTTCAACAGATATTGGGTATAATGAAGGTCTTGCTAAATTTTTGTCTCTTCTTTGACAAACATCACAAGTATGAACAAATCTTTGGATATTGGTATATATTTGTGGCCAATAATATTTACCATGAATTTTATTAAATATTATATTAATTTCGAAGTATTCTCCTAATAGGTAAGTATATACTAAAAACATAATTGGTTCAACCTTGTATTTTTGGATAACTCTTAATAAATAGTTAACCTTATGTTTGTTTTTCTTGTAGATTAACTTATTTTTGACTTTGAAGAATTTATTTTGAGCTTGTATACTTCGTTATTCTTGCAAAGTTAACATATGGAGTAAGGTATGCTCTGTAATATATGTTTTTAACAATTGCTATCTAAGTAGTTCTATCTTTGCTTTGTCAAGACACCAACTATCTAAGCAGGATTATTCTTAATATCAGATTTTGTTTTGGAGCTCTTGAACAATCTTTTCTTTCTTGAGTATTCTTTCTTCTCATAGTTAATAATATAATCTTTTTAACTTTACATTTTGTGTTTTATTATATCTAATTTAACTAAATTAAACCTTTAAACTAATTAATTTTAAAATTATATTAATCAGATCTATACATGCTGATGAAATTATTTTAGGTTTTGAAATACAAAATTAAAATTTGAAGATGAAATTGTTTTTGATCTATTTTACTTAAAAGATGAAATTTTTTGATATTTTTTTTGA